ATATACTTCGAGACACGACGTGGTTCTGAAAGCGAGAGCAGCAAGGATAGATATCATCCGTAGAAAGAATAGAAAGATCAAGGAAGGATTCACATTTTGCAACTTGGTGCGCGCTGCTGAAGAGGAAGTGTGCATAGCTGAAGGAATTGGTGGTTTGGCAGCACAAGCAGATTGGCAGCGGATGTCCAGATCCGCAAAAGAAATAGTAACAACCTCCGCTAAGAACTAATGTTGTACTTTTGTCAACGGAAATCACACAGACCTGAGGTCGCAGTCCCATGGGAAGGAAGAATAGAAGAACAGGAGAGAAAGTTGTCGAAGTATCAGCAGCTAGTGATGAAAAGGCAGCAAAGGGTATTTACGGGACAGTCCGTAGGGGGGGGGGGCGGGACTCTCAGACACTTGAGAGTAGTGGGGTGAGAGAGAAGGTAGCTTATCTCGGAAGGGGAGAAGCTGAGATGTAATCACAGTTGATTTAGAGAAAGCGACATCGCGGCGTACCCCTGTAGTTAAAAAGTTACCTGGACGCCTGGCCCCACATGGCAAGTAGCCATTGTCCCACCCATTTTAAATTCCGGGCACTGCTTTTCAGCGACAGTCTATATAGGGTAGGGAATGACGATTTTTTTTTACCCCTTCAAAACACTGCGTATTGAGGACTATTTTTAAAAATTCAATGAAGTATCCAAGTTGCCAAAACGAGCTCATCCGCGCGAAAAACCTGCAAAACAGATATCCAAGTCCTAAATGTTGCCGTCCTTGTCTTTGGAGGTATGGTATTAGCAAATGGCATACTATTTGGGAAAATTACACTAAAGTTACACTAAACGATGTCTCTGAATATAACTATGACAACACTATTGACTAGGAACGCCTGACTGCATGTGCCATCGCCTGCTTGGTCCATGCGCGGGCGTATTTGCGTATGGACCAAGCAGGCGACGGCTTATTTCGCCGCCTCACTATGAACTAGTATATTGACAATGCACAACACTAGTTCGCCATTTTTTCTGGGTTAACCAGACACTGGGTCTAATTTGCACAAATCAGAATAAGGAAGAAATAAGTACAGATATCGTATTTCGAGCATTGACAGCTAATTACGCCAACTTTTGTATGCATATTAGACAATTTAATTGTATATATTGAAACTTTAGGCTGTGTTTGATAAATCGGATATTAAAATAATAAGCAAGCTGTATATTGTAAATAGAATAATAATTTATCATTGTTCAATATTATCATATTGCAGTATATTTATACCTCAAAGCCAATTTATTAAACAATTTATCATATTAAAAACTATCCATCAATATATTATATACTAAATTCTGTATAAATACTTGAAAATTTATCACTATGTATATATAATAATAATATTATATTATAAGTATATATTACATATAATATACAAATAAATCTTGCATTATATAAATATAGATAAACACAATATAACATAAATGTGTATAACATGCATAAATATAAACATTTCTTGCCCGAAATATTATATAAATATAGCCTGACAATATATTATATAAATGTTTATTCAAGCATTGCATTGCAAAGTAATGACCCTACATTCTGAATAGCTGGGAAGCGCTTGGGGGAAAACAAAACCACGCATGGGCACTCACTATTTGACGCGATGCCAGAGGTCATGAGCGAGGTCAAGCTGTGAACTGTATGCGCGGGTGCCAGCTAGATTCAAATTCCTACTGGACCAGCCATAAATAGGGCCTAACTACGGGCTATCCTTGTCTAAATATTATGTAAGCTAGCATTTTGCTAAAAATGTATTTTCTCTATAAAATATCCAAACTGGTTAAATTGACACTGAATGAAACATAGCCATTCCTTCCGTTTATGGCGGGGGGTTGGATGGCTGAATGGTTAGCGTGCGCGCGCTGTATCATAAAGTCTGTCATTGAGTCGACTGGCGTGGTTTCGAATCCCCGGTTGTACGTGGCAAGGAGTAGGGTCGCCTGTCAAACCTCGTGGGTTTTCTCCGGGTCCTCCGGTTTCCTCCCACTGCTAAAGACCCCTACGCGCAAGCGAATTATGTAAATAAAATTAAACCATACGTTAGTCCCGAAATGACCTAGTTTGTGTCGAGTGGACGTTAAACCCCATTTCTCTCTCTCTCTCTCTCTCTCTCTCTCCGTTTATGACTTCATTTATCTTTGCTCCCGGAAGACAAATGCGCGTCTAACTGGGAATCCTAACATTAGACGGCTGCTGCCTGTGCTATACGTATATTCTTCAGTATCTTCACAAATAAATAAATAAATAAACTATTGAATTCAAAATGATTTAAGAATTTTGCCTTGTCCTTAATGCCATAACATGTGAATAAAAAATCGCCACTTCCCCAAATAGGCTTATTTCTATTTCAAGTCTTTGTGTGGCATTTGCAATTTTCAAATAGTCATCGACTTTATCCATGTAGAAATATAATTATTCAATTTGATAACGGTATTTAATAATTCATTTATAAACAAAAAAATAATAAAAAAAACCAATAAAAAAGGGAGATATTCTCCGGGGTTGGAATCGGTGGATCAAAAGGTTTTAGCAAAGATTATATCGGTATAAGAGCTGGCTTTGTTCATATTGTCTGCAGAGGATCTCGAGTGTTGACTAATTTTCAGTTTATCACATCTTTGTAAATGCTGACGGATTAGAAATTCAAATTTCATAAGATTGTAGTTTGCAAGAGATTCCCCCAATTCCTCGAATGACGTTCAAGGTCTTTAAATAATTTTTGAAATGTGTCTCGTTGTCATATTTTTAGTTCTAAATTTACAGCAGTGCCAAAGATATAATCTACATATTTTGCAATGACAACTCAAAACAAATTACGGCAATGTCCGATTAGTAGATTTAGATTTGAGGTGCATGCAACCGTGTTTAGTAATAATTGTATAAAAATATAATGGTTTGCAAGGCTTCATTCTATGAGATTTTTCTAAAAACATGAGATAATGGATAAATTTGATATTTCTGTGTAGGACTACACTAAACGTAAACATGCGCAATTGATTCGTTTTATTGATATCGCCAGTAATTAAATCGGCCTAGATCTAACCGTTAAACGTACATTATGCAAGAGCTAAATCTGCCAATTGCAGGTCTTTCAATAGGCCTGAAATGTTATCTAAATTATTAATTAGACATTAACTATTCCAGACCATAATCAACTCTCGATGGCATCGCTAGCCTGCAATATTTACTGGATTATGATCCCATTCGCTGCTCGACTTCAGGGGCGGATTGGGAAATCGGGCGATTGGGCCGGACGGACAAAAAATGAAAAAGAACATTTTGTCCAATTTGTCTAAAAAAACCTTTTTCTGCTGAACATTATATGGGGGGGGGGGGTATTGGACCGGCCATGGAGCGATGATGATCACGTTGTATGTGGCCGGTGGCTTTAACGGGCCGCCACGCCATCACTGGAGTCTGGAATGGGCAGGTATAAGAGACTTTCTGGGCCGGGTGTGTTGGGTGTGGGCCGGAATTCGGAATCCTGCAATGGGGATTCCGAATTTCAACCGAAAATTTCATCGGATTCACCCGACACTGTCGCGCGCAAATTTACTAATTATTAAGTCACCTGCACCCTGTTTGTGGGGGTACGCCAGAAACGTCTGCCGATGGTTCGTATTTCCCAAAAAATTCAATTTTAAGGCCTCAGCAAAATTTGATGATAGCTGGACTGCTGGCTGAATTTGACAGATTATAATCAGATATGCCACCAAATCGCCTATTTGGGGTTCATTTTTCAAAATTTTCCAGGGGGAGAGCCCCAGGACCCCCCGTCCGGGATCCGCGGTCAGTAAAAGGGGCCGTTCCGACACGGTTGCCGGCCCCAATCCGCAGCTGCTCGACTTCCATTCATAATTTAATCATGAAATGGATGATCAAGACTATGTTTTTTTTTTATCGGACAGACTTTAGTAATGATGATCGAGGCTAGGACGAAATTTCAATCGCTTAATTAATTCTCGGTTCGTAGTGGATCAATTTGACTGACATTTTCACCAAATTGCATTTACATTATCTAGTTTTTAGCTATCTTACCTCCCATAATGTATCTTTAATAAAAAGTTAAAAAAGATAATTTTTGTAGAATATGGAAACCGATTTACACATGGTTTGATTAACACAAACAGGCGGGGATTTTATTATTGGTGTCTTAAAACAATTGAGGCAACATGACAAGTCAATAAAAGGTTTGTTGTCCATTTAATTAATTATAACTAGGACTAAATATTTGTTTCAATTTGTTTAATAAGATGTTAAAGAATTAGGAACCGTTGGAATAACGGATGGGCTTATGTTTTGTCAAAAGACTAGGCCTACTGTCCAAACGCCGTCGAACAAAATTTAGACCATTGCAGGCTACCGTAATTATGTAAATAATTATTATAAAACTACAATTTCAACAACCCGGCAATGTTATTTAATTTACAACATATGCCCTCAAAAGGATGCTACAACATTCATAACCCGTTAATCTTATATATCAGAGATACGATATGCACGCTTCGCTGCACATGGTAATATAAGCATTTCGTGGTTCTGGTATTAACCAGCCACTTACTCTATATTTGGCAAAACATATTATTTAATGTCGATTATATATATATATATATATATATATATATATATATAAGCCTAGTTATTAAGTACCTGTATATAGCGACCTACATAATATTTATTATAGGCCTAGCCTGGCCCATTATCAGTGACTCATACGCAAATGAGATAAATATGAAAAATAACACGTAGCGGATCCTGTCGAATAACCTAACCCACTTTTAGGCGAGTGAAAGAGTTTGGTTCAAATAGCAATAGGCTGCCGAATAGCCAAATATCTTATTTCATTTCAACTGTTGTATAAACACAGCCGACGCCTTTTGTGTGTGCAGTCAACTGTGGCGTAATATGTAAATTTATGAAGAGTTTTGAAAGACGTCTTCTGGAAGTGCCAATGGGTTGATGATTAGACCTAACGTCATATCCGGTTGTTAAGTTAGAGAGACTGTCAATAGTTTAGCTAGCTCTATGCCCATGCAAGAGCACAACAAACAGACGATAACATGGCGGACACAGAAAACCGATAACTTACGAGCCTAGAAATACACAGGACCTTCAAAATGCCCGAAAAAGTAAGTACAAGTGTTTGTTTCATGATTGTATTGTATATATTGACCGGGCAATAGTCTATTTTTAGTAGTGAAGTGTCGAAACAAACTCTATCGAGTGTCCCCTTTCTACTTCTAGACTCCATACTTTAATCGTAGTACGTACTTTGTACATAGCGGTCGACATGCCGCTCACAGTCACTTCGCTCAGTGTTAACGATTGTAGTAGGCTGGCGCTGTACAGCCATTATTAACGGTGAAGATAACGGTATATATCATTGCGTTCTTGAAATAAACTAGACAACTTTTAGCTTGTCACATAAATATTCAACCTTGATTGGGATGGGATAAATTTGTTCACTTGTCATTGAATACATAATCAAGCTTACAAGACTGGTGTAATATGTTGTTATGTCATGCGGCCATGGATCTACCCTAGGCCAGGTAAGACTTGGTTATTGGATAAATGAATGGATCTATAATCACACTCTTAATAACCTTTCACAGGATGAAAAAATATTTTTGATCTTATATGTTGATTGAAGTCGAAGTTTGTTTGTTAAAAAATGATAAACTGAATTTTGAAATCAAAATAAATTTATTTTTGTATTAATTTTGTCTTCCAGTATTGTACAAATATTGTTGTTTTCTTAGTGTTAGTATTTATACTATGCTTGATAATGGGATGGAATGGACTAGTAGATGAATGATTATTACTCTATTTGTCATAGAAGCTCACACAAATAGAAAACAAATTTATGTAAACTTGACGCAGCCATAACTTAAATTAGAATTGATTGAATTGAATATTTTTTGGACCAGGTTGGCTTTCTATTTCATTTCAATTTTTGTGTGATGATTAAGCTACAATAATTGCTGATAATTACTGCTAAAGTTATTGTCCATGATTATAATATCAAGGAATCTGGTCAGTCTTGAAATGCTTGCCAATGAGATTTTACAGTATTATTAATTCCTTTTTACCTAAATAATCAAAATGCGATCACTGTTATGAACTACTTTAAATATATGTCCTGCGGTTCAAATTTTGTGTGATGAATAGGCCTAACGGTACCAAACTACAACAATTTTTTATGATTACTGCAAGAGTTAGTGTCCTTGATTATAATATCCAGTAATCTTATCAATGTTTGCCAATGAGATTTTACAGTAGGGGAGACCAGGGCTAGTTTGACCCTTGCGAAAGTCCAACCATCAGGAATATCATGTGACTGGGAAACAGTTCCTGTTAATTGGTCATTCTGAGTGGTTGTGACATCACTGTGTTCCCCTTGCATTAAAATGGTGTTCGTCTGCTATTTTTTTTTATGTTGGAGAGGAAAACATTTTTTTTTTTGCTGTCATAAATAAAGTATAAGCTTCTTCATGTGATGCATTTTAGTAGCTTTTTTGGGGGAAAATCATTCAATTCTAGACAGTTGGTGGGAAGGGCAAGTTGGAAATGAAATGAAATGGAGTTTAACATCCTACTGTTCTGCTCCTAACCTGGGCAGGAGGGCAAGTTGGACCCTGCTCATTTGGAAAAATTCATCCAATAAGTTAAAAGAGTAAATTTGACCAGAAGTCGATTCACAGTGTGAGTTGTAAAATGTGGGGGAGGGGGTGTGGATGGCCGAATGGTTAGCACGTGCGCCCTGTATTATACGGTCTGTCATTGAGTCAACTGGTGGGGTTTCGATTCTCCGGTTGTACGTGACAAAAAGTAGGGTCGCCTGTCCAACCTCGTGGGTTTTCCCAGGGTTCTCTGGTTTCCTCCCACTGCTAAAGACCCCTACGTGCAAGTGAATTATTGAAATAAAAAAAATTAACCGTATGTTAGTCCCGAAATGACATAGTTTGTGTTGAGTGGACGTTAAACCCCATTTCTCTCTCTCTCTCTCTCTCTCTCTCTCTCTCTGTAACATGTGATCTCACAAATATTGTGCTAATTATGCTATCAAATGTAGTGGAACACTAAAATACTTGCATTGGAGTGTTTGTAGTGCAGTACTACATATTATCATCTTCATATTTATATGACACACAATCTGATTAAAACACAAATCCTATTTCGTTTTGTTTTTATAGTTCAAAATTTTGTTTTACTTGTCTTTACTACACTAGGATCTGGCAGAGTTGTTATATAACCCACATTCTGGTTGATGTCAGGGATTAGTCAATAAATTATTCTGTTACGACAAGTTCATGGCGTTTGGTGCACAGAACTGTGTATATCCCACTAGAAACATCAACGCTAATTGGTTAATCACATGTCTGACATCATAGGGTCAAAAGCCCCTCGTATGACCCCTGATGCAACCTTCCACTACAACCGGTTAGAACTACATGTAGTGGAGACCATCCAAAGTATAAAAAGCAAAACGAAATATAAATCTGTATTGTAATCAGATTGTATTACACATGGTATGCATTTCATTATTAAATTTAAATAAAGTGTAATCTGAAGCTAAAATACTCCTTTCACTTGAGCAGGGGTGGTGGGGGTGGGGTTGATCATGCCCCAAGCTATGGTACTTTCGATCCTTTCAACATTTTTCTTTTGGAAACCAATTCCTCTTATGTTTACGGTAGTTGCCTCGCTTTGTTAGTGGTTTACGAAAGGTAACTATATACACAGTAATATATCCCCTTAAAATGGGAAGAAACTAGAGGAAATTGTCTTTCATGGTTTTAATCAGCACTGGTTTTTAAAAAATGGTTCAACTAGCCCCAGTCTCCCCAATACATTTTTTGCTTTTCTTTTTGTTCCTAAATAATCAAAATGCGACTTCTGTTATGAAGTACATGTACTTGGACAACTGAGCTGCTGTGAGGGTACATTTACTGAATATTGAGCTACTGATTACTACAAAATTGAGTACAGACAACCTTTATGATCCACTAGTACTATATTAAGGTCTATCTTGGTTGGAATCTTTGAGGATTCGGCAAGAAATTGACAAATAATGACTGAACACGTGACCTAATTTGTAACCCCTAGGAATTGGCTACGCTAACAACATTGTCAACAGTTGAGTAGTTATAAAGGGTAAAAGTTGTATCGGGTGTTCACATGAAAAAAGAATTATTCAAATACACAGTCCATGTCGTTTCGATTTACTAGTTTCACATTTTCTTGTGGGGGAGAGGAGGTATCGTGGCTGAATGGTCTAAGGTGTGCGCTTTAGATCATTAGGTCTGTCATTGATTCAAGGGACCTGGTTTTGATTCCCAGCTTTTGTATGTAACAAGGAGTAATGTCGCATTTCCTACCTTGTGGGTTTTCTCCCAGTCCTCTTGTTTCCTCCCACTGTTAAAGACCAGTTATTGAAGTAAACTTGTACCATATGTTAGTCCCGAAATTATCTTGTCGTTAAACCCCATCTCACTTTGTCTCACATTGGAAAAAGTTTGTGAACTCCCCAAATGAATGGTGGTATCAGGTGTTTTAGAAATGAGCACACACACCCTGAAGAGATGGCTATGATCAGGACCCCAAGTTAGATATACGAATGGTTACTTTGGCAGGGATGAATTAAAACTTGGAGCTGTTGTGCCTCGTTGAAAAGGCGCTGCCCTGCTAACCTGGCAAGAAACAGCCTCTTGTTGTTTGGATGGGATGGAAAAAGCCTATTTTTTATAGTTGGCGTGCACATAAAATGACCCTTGATAGTTGGAATTTGAAATAAGAATATTAAGAAAAGGCTGTAGAGCCTCTGTTAGACCAGATGGAGTAGAAATGTTATAGATTCCTATTAAATTTTCTTGAGTGGCAAGAGTTATTATTTAATCAATATGAAATTAACTATGCTTTGCTTTGATTAATGAGATGCAGGGACCTATCAATTTTCATTGTTTTCCAATAATTACTGTTAGAGTTTGGTCCAGTCCAGACTCTGATCACTGCTGTAAATGCTGTGTCTGAAAGTGTGTGAAAGAATCACACATGTTGATCGATGCCGTGTTTAAATATCCAAAGTGTTGGTGTTTTTAAAGGAATTCAAGCGATAAGTTTCATTTTGATTGGCAACAAGTTCCAAACTTATGGCTGCAGTAAGGTTTGGATAACCAATTCTTGGCCTTCTCTCAACTCCACTAGCTTTGGCTAACCTTGGTTATTGACTTCAGGCTATTATTGTCATATGAAAGTCATGTCCCAACTCAACATTTGATTGACTTCAGACCCAGAGTTCTGCAGGATATTGAAATCCCATCCACACAAATGCCACACAACCAAATTGTTGAAAAGGATATTGAAATTTCAAATGTAGTCTGCTAGAGTTATGACCCATTTTTTATATACATTTGTTGAATAGTTCTCATCCCACCATATAAAACATATGATTTAGCTTAAAGTAAAAATCAATCTGTAGTTATTGTTTGTTTTGAAATTCTTCAGTTTTCATTGGAGTTTTTTGCTCCTCAAATTTAACAAAACAATAGTTCAAATATTGGCTTTGTAAGTTAGTGAGGGGCTAAAGCACTGTAGTGTTCAGAACAAATTTTATAGATTTTTCTCCTCCTAACTAAAAAGTATGTTGCTGGAATTCAAGTAACTACATATAGTTTTGTATATAGTGGCTAGCAGTAGTTGAGTGGTCGTGGCACTGAAATCCTGGGTTCTACTCCTAGCATGGTTCAAGCAATATTGTGGGATTTTTCGAGGGTGGACACGTGGGGCTGACAAAGAATGTGTGCCTTGTCGTTCAGAATCAGAAGGAACGGGAAATAAACCCTGACAAATCTGTCCATAAAGCAAGACTTAATGTAATACTATCATTGGTATGATAGAAGTAGGGTCACCTGTCTTAAATGTTAGGAGCCGTGTTGACTTAGTAAGGCATTAGCATGCTAACCAGCCGGTCTCGAAACCACTTCCAGTGAGAGTTCCGACATTGAAAGTCAAAATTCAAAATGAAGAAGGTGCTATTTGAGGTAGAATGTTCAAACATGGTATAGGTGCTTATTAGGTGAATGCCTTAATGGAGTTCGATGAAGAGCATTTTCTGCTTACTGTAAGCAGAGATTAGCAATTTGATTGGTCGATGCTTTTGAACACGATAACCTTGATTCTAACTTGTGTATAAGTTCGATAATGAGCATTTTCTGCTCAGGTTAAACAATTTGATTGGTCAAGATTTTGGAGGTTTATAACCTTGATTCTAATTGAGTGAGTGCTTGATACTTTTCGACACGAAAACCTTGATCCTAACTTTGACTAAGTTTGATAATGAGAGTTTCCTGCTTAGGTTAAACAATTTGATTGGTCAAGATTTTGGACGTTGATAACTTTGGTTCTGATTGAGTTGGTGTATAATTTCATTACATTAATATGTGTACCTTGACTAACTCTCAGGTGTTTATAAGGTGAATGCCTTGATCGAGTTCGCTGATGAACAGTTTCTTCTAAGGCTATGTAGAGATAAACATTTTATTGTGAAAGTTAAATCTCAAAAATAAACATATATATAAGTCCAAATCTGGTTCTGTTCAATTCAATATTTAAAAAAATAAGATGAATTTAAAACTGTCAACATTGCAGACGATTTTGACCTAAAAGGATGTGGTCGAAAGCCAGTGCCGCCTACAATGTAAATGTTAAATAATCAATTTGAGTAGATTTTGTCTTGGAAAACAGGGGATTTTTCAAATAAATGTGGGGGAGTTGGCTGAATGGTTTAAGCCGTGCATTAGATCACAAGGTCTTTCATTGAGCATTGAATCAAGTGACGTTGTTTTAACTTCCTGCAGCTAAAGACGCTTAAGCGAGTTATTGAAATAAAATTGAAACATGTGTTAGGCCCAAAATGACCTAGTTTGTGTCAAATGAACATTAAACTCTATTTCGGCCTCTCTCCAAATAAATGCAAACGATGCACAAAGACATTAAAGATAATTTGCATATTTATTTAGACAGATTTCATATAAATTTCCACGATAAAAGAAAGTTTTATTGATTTCTTTTTATTTACTACTTATTGCAACTAAATTTCCATTATATTATATTATTCTATTGCATGTGTATTTAAAAAATCAGTCATGTAAAAGTGGTATGTGCATCAAGCTAGTTTTATTATTATATAAGCATACACTACACATGATTCCATCTGATATACATGGTACATGAATGGTTCAATTAATATTTTGACTCATAGACTGTAATTATTATATGTTCCATACCTAATGTATCACATATAAAAATCAAAAGTTAATATAGAATGAATAAAATTTGGCACAGCTATTCAATCCACTTTCAACTGTGTGTTCAAAGTTCTGTCATAAGTCTGATAAACCTTATAATTCAGTTGTGTGAGGAAGTTTCTAAAAATCAAAGCATTGAGAAAAAAGTGGATTGCGTATATAATTCGGCCTCAATGAATACCAACCAGTGTTTACAAAACAACAGTGAATATTTTCAGACTATGCAAACACGGAAAAGAAAGCTTTTCGCTACAATATTATTCAGATAAGATCGTAAGCTGTTAACAGCCATTATAGAACTAAAAGTATGTGAATTGGATCTCAGTTTGTTTCAAAAATAACATTAAGCTGTGGCTATTATGTTCATGTTCATTATCGTAATTATAAAATTCAGCGCCAAATAACTTTTCTGAAACCAATCAGTAGATATAATATACTAAGGTGAGAAGTCACAGACATTTTCAATAGCCACCAGGGTCTCGGTTGTTTAACTAGTGAGCATTGGTGAGTATTACGACTAGTTGATGGAATGTAGGGTAATGGACTTTAATCCCACCTTTCATAGTCAGTGTGTTTCTCACCTTTGTATATTGTATCTACTCATAAGAAATGGTTATGTGCCCTGAATTTGATAATCTCATCTTTATTAGCCCGATTGGAGCAGAAAAATATGACATTTCATTTTCATTAACGTAGATTAAGAACCAGTCAGACCTTAAATCACAAGCTACATGTAGTTTGTGTAATGATATATATATATACCGGTATCATACATGTGGGAAATAAACATTTGGTCTTTGTGTCATCTTTAGAGTAATTTAGGTAATTTGTAACTTGTTTTCTTGTATAAACATATATATATTGGCTCGTTCAAGTGACTACATCTCAATTGCTTCTGAATGTGTTTGTGTTTATTTAATGTGATCAATAAATCTATTTTTATCAATGGATACCTTGTGAAAGTAGGGATTCTTTCTTTGATTTAAAATTTTCACCATGACCAATTGGATTTCTTTTGCTTTTGTTGTTACTGTTAGTGCATTACACATGACTAAAGGTTAAGATTATGATGATTTTTACAATATTACTAATTAGCATTATTTGTGAAAGAATTTTTTGTCCTTTCGTCATATACCTCCCTCTAAGACATCATTAATCCATATTGAATCAAATTGTTGGCACGGTTTTATTATTTTATATATGGTTGCATACATTGTAGATGAAAAATATGTATTTTGTCATTCTGTACATGTGTATAAACTTTTAATGATGTTGGTATTTTCCAGAGGGAATTGAAGAGATTGGAGGAACTGGAGAAGAGAAAGAAAAGAATGATTTTAATGCAACAAAGGCTGATAACAGATGCAACATTACCTTCCATGGGACCAGCCTCTACTAGAAGAAAAAGTATACAAAGAGTAGAGAAAGACGAAACTAGTACAACTTCCAGAAACATAAGAACACCTACTCAAAGAGACTCAACACCAATTGTTTCAAGGAATAACAGAAATGGAGAAGTATCATCATCTTCAAGAAGTAAAAAGGGTACCAATACTTCCACATCCTCCTCACAGGGACCTAGTTATAGAGGACTTAAGTCCTCTAGAAATATAAAAGATGGACAATCTAGAGATTCTAGTCCTGTAACAGGTAAATTACGAACATCAAAATCAAGAGATGAAAGTCCAAACATCGGTAAATTTCCAACTTTCACATCAAAGTCCAGAGATGCTAGTCCCAATTCCAGTAAATTGATTAACTTAAAATCAAGCGACACATGTCCAAATCTAAATAGGCCACAATCAACTAAATCCAGAGATGTGAGTCCAAACCTGAGAAGATCTAAAAGTTTGAAGTCAAGGGATCCTAGTCCAAATCAGTTTGAGACCCATAATTCGGAGTCTGTAGATGATAGTTCCATGTCAAGGATTCAAGATTCATTAATGCCACCTAGAACAACTAGAAGTAGAGATAACAGTCCAAATGTAAAAGGATCAAAGGATTTTGAACTGTCAAAGCTTAAAGAAGTTAGACAAAAATTGAAAGACGAGAATATAGCATTTGAGTTTTCAGATGAAGTTTTCAATGTTATTCCTTCGAAGGCATTACCTTCAGTATCTAGTTGTAGTACATCTAGCTTGATGAAAGATTCCACAAGTGACACTAAAACTGGATGTGACACTTTGCAGTTGGTGAAACCAGTTATTCCCCAAAGCTTATCAGACTCTAAATTAGTAAGTATAAAGCTAGATGATAAGGTATGCAAGAAGAGAAGGAGAAGAAAAAGAACAACAGGAGTACAAAGACCAAAAGTGAAGCGTTTAGTACATCCAATAAAACAACACCAGAACCATGAAAGCTGTACAAGAAAGAAGGGTGGACGACCTAAAGGAAGTAAAAATAAGACATGGACACAGTTAGCTGCAGATAAAGTAAAACTTCGCAGCGCAAAAATGTCTGCTTCAAGAAATTTAACAAAAGACTCTCTTCCAGAACCTAGACACAAAACTATTCGGAAACGAACTCTTAGTGCTGAATATGATCTGATTGATGAACGTGAATTGAAAAGGAAAATGCGAAAAAAATCAGAAAACACTGAAATTAAAGCTATGAACGAGCATCTTGAGGTTGATGAAAGTGACGATTCTGATGCCTTGGAATTATCAATGACTGATAGTGAAAAATTAGGATTATATGGATCAAATGTGTCTACTTCAGAGCTCCAAGATTTAGATGAATTGGATGAAGATTTAGAAAATCTTTTTCCTCCTGATCAGACAGATGTATCACGAAGTGAGACAGAGAAGGATCATACAGAAGAAATAGGCCATACAGAAGAAATGGGTCATACAGAAGAAATGGGTCGTACAGAAGAAGAAATGGGTCGTACAGAGGAAGAAATGGGTCATACAGAAGAAGTGCCCAGTACAGAAATGGATCATACAGAAAAAATGGGTAGTACAGAAGAAGAAATGGGTCATATAGAAGAAGTGGCCAGAACAGAAAGAACTACTGAATTTCTGCCAGAAACTGTTTTGCCTGAAATTGTCAGCAGAAAAATAAAAAAGAAATTACAAAAACAGGTCACACCTACCTTTACATCAATCATTGTGAAACCGAATGGTGAAACAATGGAATTCCTTTCATTACCAGAAACAATGGAACCAGAAAAAATAAACACATCTCATTCTCCAAAGGTTTCTAAAACAGTTGCGCCAACTATTCAAGAATTTCTTGTTCGTCCAAATGGAGAGACTATTCCGGTGCAGACAGTAACTTTTGACAAGCATCTGCAGACAGATTCATCAAAGTCCTTAAATCGAACCATAAGCAAATGTACAAAGCCTATTGTTCAGACAGTTACTGAAATTGTAGTGAAACCAACAGGCGAAGCTACACCTCTTCGTATCTTTACATCAACAAAAGATGATCTTTCAATAACAGCTGATCGTAAAGTGGTGTGCGGTGAAGAGGAGGTTAGCAAGGATACTAAAGAGTGTTATCTAAGCAAACCTGTTAAGAAAAAGAAAAAGAAAGAAGTTTTTTCTTATAGATTTAAAAGATTCAATAAAAAGAAACAAAAGCAAAAGAAATCACAACTTGTCCTCCCATTACAATTAGATGTAGCCTCTGCATCAAGTTCAAACATAGTTGAGGAGAATTATGATATTCCTGTGTTAAGTCCAACAGATACTACTGATACAAACCAAGTAATTGATGAATTACCTAGCCCTGTTCTCAATATGCCTGTGTTAATAAAGGAGCAGTTGATAGACCCAGTACCACAAATTTCTCAATGTGCTCAACCTGGCAGACCTAGGGGTAGACCAAGAATACATCCAGTGAAAGTACGGTCAGGTAGATCTCGTGGAAGGCCATCGATGTTTCTAACCCCACAAGAAGATATAACTATACCCGTTTTAAGCACGACTAAAGATTCGGAATCAAATATACCCATATTTCAAAGCGATAGTTCACTTGATTCCAAAGATATTCCAGAAAAAACTGGAGAACAGATTTATGAAAATATTGATGTTGAAAATGTAGATGTTCTAGAAGAAAATGAAGAAATGTTGGTAGATCCGACGCCTCTTAGTGATACCCAAGTCACCACTCTTTCAACCATTGAAAAGAGCGATGAAGAAGTCACCACTCTTTCAACCATTGAAAAGAGCGATGAAGAAGTCACCACTCTTTCAACCATTGAAAAGAGCGATGAAGAAGTCACCACTCTTCCAACCATTGAAAAGAGCGATGAAGAAGTCACCACTCTTTCAACCATTGAAAAGAGCGATGAAGAAGTCACCACTCTTTCAACCATTGAAAAGAGCGATGAAGAAGTCACCACTCTTTCAACCATTGAAAAGAGCGATGAAGAAGTCACCACTCTTTCAACCATTGAAAAGAGCGATGAAGAAGTCACCACTCTTTCAACCATTGAAAAGAGCGATGAAGGAGTCACCACTCTTTCAACCATTGAAAAGAGCGATGAAGAACATGTAAATGAAACGGTTAAAAATCTTGTTGATAAAGTGTGTGAAAATGAATTGTGTACAGATATAAAACATTTTAAAAAGAAGAAAAGACGGAAAAGGGGAAGACAATTCATTTCAATGTATAAAAGGGGAAGAAAGTCTGTTTCAAAAGCGAGTAAACCCAAGAGCCTGACTAAAAAAGCCCTCTCACCTTTGCATCTAACAGTCGACACTGAGAATAAGTGGAAAATAGACCATTCAACAATGTCTGGTTCACAGGAGGGTTCCACCAAAATGGTATTTAAAAGACGAAGAAAGGTGTATAAATCAATGAGCGAAAGAGAAAATAGCTTATTCCTGGCAGGGGTTGAGGAATTAATGAAATCTGAAGGGCAGTTTGGGTCAAACAAAACACCTAGTCAAGTGAGACAATTCATGTTCAGAAATAAAATTTCACGCTCCCCTATTCAAATGCTTGCATTAAAGGAAAAATTAGAAACTGAAGAGTATGAAAAGTCCCAAATGCCTAAGCGTAGATACACACGTCCTCCCCAAAAGGAAATTACTCCCGCTAAAGAGGAACCACAAAATACAACCCAGTATAGTGGATCCGTTCAGGAAATGCTGACATATTGCAACCCATGTTCAATAAAATTAAAAGACTTTGTGAAATCTTTGAAACTGGACTCCAATACCTGTGATGACCAATCTCTGGAGATTGAAGATATGCAGGACAGTGATACGTCTTATGTGCCGTCGGATGAAGAGGAAAACAAAATCGGGGAAAATGTGGATTTAGTGATACAGCAAATGACTAAAGAGTCTGATACAAAACAAGACATTAAGTCACTAGTTGAGCATCCAAACGCAAATAAAATCGATGAGTTAAAAGGAGAGGGCTTTGCAGGTAGTTTTGTAGACTTTCTTAAGAGGGGCCAGGTGGAAACAAAGAAAACACCAAAGATGCAAAGAATAGCAAAAGTCGCTCCAATCCAAGTAATAAGACCTACTCAGCCACCTGAAAATTCTGACAATGCTGTTCAATCTAAGAATGGCGTGGACGAAGATAAGAATTCAGTTTCCTCAACTGTGGAACAAGAGATAGAGGTTCCATCCAGCACTTGCTTAAAAACTGATGAAAACTTGTCACCAGGCCAAACTACCAGTCAAAATTTCCCTAGATGTACTGCAACTTCACCCACATATCAAGCCTTCTGCCCGGAAACTACCATTTCAGATTCGTCTAAATCACCCCTTCATAGTAATCAAGGTGCAAACAATATGACTAAATATTTCTGTAAATCTTGCGAATTTTCGTCTCCAGTTAAACAGACAATGGAAGCACATGTGTATATACATATATCCGGGGTAACATTCCAATGTGGTATATGTCAGTCTAAATTCCCCTATTTTGTTGCTGCTCAAAATCACCAGCACACTTTTCACAAAGGTTCAGAACACTATATTATTAAAGAGCCAGATGTTAAGGAGGAAGACTATTACAATTGTGTAGAAGAACCATGTACCAAACAACCACTAATCATATCACTTATTGTGCAGGGAAACCTTGCCCTTAACTCATCAAGCATACACAATCCCACCACTCGCTTCGTGTGTACCCACTGTCAGTATTCAACAAATCTGAAAGATGACATCAAACAACATGTCTTGGATCTTCATGAGGAAAAAAAACTCTTTGTCTGTACCTTATGTGATAAATCGATTTACCATTCGAATGAAGAAATCACAAGTCACTGTAGATCTACACATCCAAGTAGACTGGATTCCTATAGAAAACTCCCCGACTTCTATGACTGTGAACAGCTAGCCGAGGGTTGTGAGAGAGGAAGGTTAGATAGTAGAGGGAACATATTTGAGCGGATGACGAATCTGTTTAATCCAAGTCCACCACATGATACTGAGTCAGAGGGTACCACACACTATAAGCGCGCGAGAGAATATTTGAATATTCAGGAAGCTTGGAAGAACAAAACAAGTGCAGAAGCTGACAGTACAACTGCTGAAGATAACCCGACCGAAGAAGCAACAATTAAGGATAAAGGTAACATTGATGATGATGTTTGCGAAAGTGCATCTTCTACCCAAAAGCAGTATGAAGAGAAAATACCTGACAGTAAAATACAAAACAATATGTTTGATTCATCTGAGGGAAATATAGTTTGCGCTCGTGATCAAGAGTCTGAAGTATCAAAATCCAAAGAACAATCTGCAGTTCAATTTCATTTACTAGGAAATGAAAATACCGCCGTACAGGATACAGCTAACGACACAGCTAACGACACAAGAGTAAACTCTGCACTTAACGAAGTTTCACAGCTTGAAATGAAAGAACAAGAAAATACTAATTTGAAAGAACATATTGTAGACATTAATAATGTAGCTGAGAGCTTACCACATATTGTAACATCGGCATCACAACTAAATAATATGGAGCATTTACCTAATAAGACAACCGGGGAAAAGGAGAGTGAAGGAAGTTCAGTAATGGCTTTAGAATCAAACGAAGCTGTTCAAACGGAAGAAGAAACTACATCTGTTGTCATCAGTGACGGTGTGTGTAATTCACCAGAGCTTTCTGTTCCCGTTAATGCTACAAATTCACACACAAATGTACGTATTAATATTAGTATAGACGACCATGATGATTCTTCAATTCTAAAAGATGGGGATAGCATTGAAGATTTGACAGATTCGGAACAAGTAATTATTGATTTGAATGATGATATTGAAGAAGATCTTTCTCGACCAAATTTTCAGAATAATAAATTTGAAAAACAAATAGAAGATCATAACCAAAATCAAGTGGTTCACAAAAAAGAAATAGGGCCAACAGACGAAGATCATGTAGATATAACCAAGATTTCAGATGCCAACCCACCAAAACAGGAAGAAAAAGAGGAACCACATTCAATCCCGTCAAGGTGAGATAACTTTAAGATTTCCCTGTTCTGTTTGATTTGAAGGGGGTTGGGTTGCCGACTGGGTTAACGGGGGACGCTTTAGATAATAAGGTCTGTCATTGAGTCAAGTGGCATGGTTTCGATTTCCCGCTTGTCCAACCTCTACGGTTCACCCGGTTTCCCACAACTGCTAAAGACGCCAACGCGCAAGCGAATTATTGAAAGAAAGTTGAACCAAATGTTAATCGGAAAATGAGCTAGTTTGTGTCTAGTGGGCATTAAACCCCATTTCTCTGTGTGTGTTTTATTTGAATCAGATGTACGTTGTAACTACACACCGGTACCTAAATATAAGTGATAACAAGTACATGTCAGTGAAAAACAAATGCCTGTCATTCAATTTGTAAATTTTATTTGATTAAATTGTGTCGTTTGAGATGTAGAGGAGTTCATTCAGTTGTTGGAATTATTTATGTTATCGAATTGAAGCTATAAAAAGTGATTACGTGAGTGACTCTCACCATCATACTATTGATCTACATCATTACTGTTAAAAATTAATCCATCAGAATGCTAGAAATTTATATTTATAATTTTTGCATGAAGAATTGATATTTGGTATCGATTGCACATATAGTATTTTAGGAACATAATACTGGTACTTTCATATCAACTAGATTCACTTTTTTTAAATTCAATAAACTTATTTTGAACAAATTTTCATTAAAATAATCCCTATTTTACATAAGTTAGCTGAACGGTAGGTTGGGGCTGACAAGGAACAGCACATGGTCGTCCTGATGGGAAAAAAGTAGGTCCCGGGTAAACATTGGCGTTAACGAAAATGGCCGTTTGATTTTATAGAAATATTACTTGAGAATTGGTAGGTCAGCTAATACATGGAACGATGAAGCACAAGGGATTTATCTCTGTCCCGCCCTATTGTCAGTTCATTTATATTCTAGTTTGCGTGGCTACATATAGGTCCTATAGCCACTTCGAAAGGATTGAAGGAAGCTGTAAGCAGCTACATAAACATTGAAAGCTTTAATTGTTTACTTTATATGAAATGCATATTGGCCAGATATACGTATTGATTGCAACTGCCTTATAGGAAAGAAGTTTAAACCAAGAGTTCCTCTTAAAATAGAAGAACGTATCCTCAATTCATTTACCAAAAATTGTTATCAAAGTAATAGTTGTTGGGCATTGGAAATCGTGCCCAATCTGAATGAATTCCTGAGCATGCTAATGCGATGTGTAAATACGAATTTCTTATTTATTTTTAGCGAACAACAGTGCGAAGAGTCTGCAGAAAAAGTCCACATAACAAATGAAAATTCTCCAGAAAGAGCATCTGAAATACAATCCATTGAAGATCAGAAGTCTGATAACCAAGAGATACAAGGATCTAGTAAGTTTGATGATTCGTCTGTTGACCAGTTAAAAATAATAAATGTTGTAAGCTTAAAAGGTCAAGAGCAAAGCCCAGAGAGAGCTTCTTCTGAAACAAAAATTATACATAAGGGCACTGTTGATGTGGCAGATATTGTTCTAAGGAATGAGAGATTAACCTGTACATATAAATGTAAAGTGTGTAATGTACATGCTCCATACTTATCTGTAATCATAGAACATTTAGTCCAGCACCACAAATCTATATGCGTGTTTACCTGTCCATACTGTAAAATATCACAGGGAAGAAGACCGGATTTTAAAGCTGAACCCGAGGTTAGACAGCATATAGCAAAATTTCATCCAAGTTATTTTGCTAAGAAAGATACATCTCTTTCCGATAGTGCTAAAGAGATTGTACAAGTTATTGCTATTCCATCAAGTTGTGAGCCCCAAAGAGTTAATAAGAACTTGGGTGTCGAAAGAGATATTTACATGTGTCAGAAATGTAACTCTCATTTGCCAACTTTAGAGTTTATGTACGCTCATATAGAAAGTGAACATAGTGATGTTTTTCTGCACGTATGTCCCGAATGCAAAACATTTAAAAACAAATCAGAGAAAGTGGTTTGTCAACATATACAAAATATTCATCATAAAGATCCCACCAATGTTGAATTACCATTGGCTATGGAAGATAATATTCTATCTCGTGTTTATTCTATATCAAAAAATGGTGCTTTTAATGAAAAGATTCAAAATCCCGGTACTGTTAAATCAGCTACTGTTAAATCAGCTACTGTTAGTGCACCCGTACATGGTACCTCTTCGAGCGAATATTCAGACTCTAAGATATCTAGAGATACGGTATTAAAGACACTGAGTTGTGTTACTTCTAACATTGTTAAACATAAACCAACAGCCAGAAAATCTATGAAACAATCACACGATTTTCCGCGACCTGTACCGAAAAAGATTGTTAGTTGTGAAAAACAAAAATCGTCTCCATTCACTTCTCAAGAATGTCCCCCTATCGTGGGTTCCCAGTTGTTCACAACTGGTAACAGTTCGCTAACATCACCAGATGCGTTAAACAGCACCCCTTCCCCGATCTCCCATTTTACGAAATCACACAGCAAAAACCTTACTTCTCTGCTTGAAAAGCCGGCAAACTCAGTTCCACTGCAACCGAGGAAGAGCCCAAAGACAGTTGCACAACAATTAAGGGAAAGACAAGCTATAGTTGACTCAGCAAGAGATCATATTCCGCCTGAAGTTAATCACCAAAGATCTGCAAGCCAGACGATTGTCTCTATTGATCAGAAGACGGTGGCCCAACAAATACGAGAAAAAATGTCATTAGTTCAGCCATTGACGGATAACTTGTTGAATGAACAGGGTAGCCAGAAATCAGCAGCTCAGTTAAGTGACACGGTGTGGTCCAGTCACAAACGTCCTCGAGTAAGATCACGAAAATTTGCTATGACAGATAAACTTCATCGTTTGGATAGACCAAGTTCTGCCCCAGCAGCTGCATCAAAACCTGTATTGAATGTTCCAACCATAGATAAAGTGCGAAATCTAGCCCGACCGAGACCAGGAGATAATCAAAGTTCATCGGCAGCGGACTTTCCAGGGCCACAGGATATGTCTCGCTATCCCGGCATTCTTCAGCCCCCACAATCTCGCTCAGAAGCTATGAGGACAAGCAGTCCAGTAACATCTAATACAAGATCAACTCCCCAACCAAGCCTTCTGTTTCCAAGAGGATTGAGTCCACAATTAACGTCAGCGCCAACTCAACCAACTCAAATTAAACCTAAGCCCAAATCAGGAGAAGATGATCTCCCACCCGATGCATTCAAAATCTTCAATCTAAAACCATCTAAATCACCAGCACCACACCCCGTACAAACTTCGTCAGCGCCACCCACACCAACAGTGATCAGCCCCTTTCCACAGATGATAAATATTCAACCTGGATTTCAAATGCCTCCTATCCAGCTTGCCCAGTTTCAGCAAGGACTCGCTGCACCACTACAAAGCCTAACGTTTGCTCAAGGTTTTCCCGGGATTGTCCTCGTCCAGCCACAATCGCAAAATATAAACATGGCTTCCCTAAATCCGAATAATTTAGCAGAATCTCAAGGCGTTCCAAATACTACCGCAACGCAAATGAACTTTCTGTGTCAATTTTGCGCTGAACCTCGACCAATGTCGCAAAATGAACTGTTTTATCATATTAAACAAGTGCACAGTGGTTCAATGAATACCGTTAGTCGTTAACGTGAATTACGTGTGCAGATTGGAACCATTTGAAGTTTCCATGTCACAGTTTTAATAACTAAACTTTTGCCGGAAATGTGAGGTTGTAAGAATATTTTAGACTTGGCTTGCTAGCCACATTTGTAAATAGTTTCATTGTATAATTTAAATGCACATACCCCCTTACGGGGTAAGAAGCGGAGTAATATGAAAGAACTGTGAACATCACGTGTCACCAAGTTTATTATGGATTGTGTCGCTACCTTTGTTGTAGTTCTTTGCCGCGTTGAATGGACCCGAAAGCAATGTATTATTTAGAATTTATAGAATACAAGGATACTATATATATATATATACTACTTGAAGATAGCTGACGATAGTTTAATACAGATTTTTAATATCCAACTAGGCGGTGATAAATGAATTTAAATCGGAGCTCTTTTGTATATACATGTAAATAGTTCATTGTATGACAGATTATGCTGAAGTTACCATATTAGAAAATCCGCTAATGCTTTAAAATTCGAATTAATGTATATACATGTAGATGATAATCACAAGAGCATTAATTGCGAACGTGAAAGAGGATTGCCTTACGATTAGTAACATTGGTATTTTTTCGTTTTTCCGATTTCTTTGAAATCTTTGCTTTTCTTAGATTACTAATTATACTGTTCGACAATTAATCGTGTTAAGAGTAAAATGTGGTTACAGTTATTGTCGCAATATTCAAATAATGTAAATTTAATTGTATTCCATTATTCCAAGTTGGGATATTTCAAGGTGTGTTTTTTTCTGATACAAGCTGCGAGTTAAACAACGACCATGTTTTAGATTTAAAGCTTCTAATCAAGCCAGTATCTTTCATTAAGTGTGGGATGTTAGAATGGAACTTTCGCCTGCATGTAAATGATTTGTGTCGATCATGACGCGGAGCATCTTCCAAGGCTTTTAATACAGAGAAGAGCGTCGTATTAAAGATTGTGTACTTACACCCCAGAATCTGTTACGTACAATATCGTCTTTTTATATACCTTATTTATAGAAAATATTTAATTTCAAAGCCTACTAATGTAAAATTAAGATTAAATAAATGACTACAGAATCAAATCTGAAGAAAATAGGAAGGATGAAAAACCTGCAGCACAACTAGGCCTATGTATATATATTTTAAATTTTTATATCAGACCGGACTAAATCCATCTTGGCATTACCATTATACGAACTATATTGGTTGGGGCTCAGAATGTCAACAAATTGAGCCTTTGTCGTGAAATAGCATAGCGTCATATATAGTCAATGCAATCATCCAGCTACCCAACGAAATGGAACTGTGTAAGCAAAGACTAATAAGCCTAATGTTAGCCCTACTTCCAGTTTAATAACCTCTTGATATTTTCCATCCATTTATCGGAAAAACACCCTGGGAATGTTTTAAATATAAAGGGGATCGATGAAAATGCATTTAAAATTAATCTTATCGTTTTCAACTCTTCGAATAATTAACCGCGAATTGCCTCCATTGAGTAAACTATTATATGGTATTATGGTATAACTATTATACGACAATACGTACTAGTAAAGCCTATACGGGTTTTTCATTTGTTAGCTATATTTATATGGGATTAGTAAATTTTTCTTCTACTGGACGTGGGCCTTCAAGGAATGCCGGGGGGTTGTATGGCTGAATGGTTAGCGTGCGCGCGCTGTATCATAAAGTCTGTCATTGAGTCGACTGGCGTGGTTTCCAATCCCCGGTTGTACGTGGCAAGGAGTAGGGTCGCCTGTCCAACCTCGTGGGTTTTCTCCGGGGCCTCCGGTTTCCTCCCACTGCTAAAGATCCCTACGCGCAAGCGAATTATGTAAATAAAATTAAACCATATGTTTGTCCCGAAATGACCTAGTTTGTGTCGAGTGGACGTTAAACCCCATTTCTCTCCCTCTCTCTCTCTCAAGGAAATGCCAAGATGGGCTAAATAGTCAGATCCTTTTATATCCCATTTTCACGATATCATGTTTTACCACTTGTATAGTTATAGAGATACATATTTTTGATACGTGTGTGTTGATAATTATGAATAGCTGATTTGTTATGATATATAATTTTTTTTTTTGCTATATATTATTGCTTCCTGTAAATATACACCCGGTAACTGCCTTAATCGAATGTGATGAGAACAGACGCTGTTTCAGAGCTTTTAAGAATAATTGGTGATGGACGCTTTTATTTAATTTGAATTAAATATTGATGCATGTTCTTCATAATTGAAGTATCTTTGTGAAATAGATTATGTTTTCTGAATTATTAAATAACCAATTATAATTGTCAATTCGCAGTGATAGTTATTTTTTAAAAAGATAAATTGTAATTAAGATATTTTCTGAGACTGTTGTGGGGCTATATTTATTTAGCATGATTAGTATTATTTATTGTTTATTTGTTTTATGTTTTTATTTCACAAAGTATTTCTAATAATTTCTTGTCTTAAAATGCTTAATTTTTTCTTAATCTGTATTGAATAGTCTACATGAAATTTAAGATTTTAAGAGTGACTGTTTAAGTAATGAACGACAATAGACTAAGACACGATGGCGACGAACCACTCGTTTGACTTGAAGTGCTGGCGAGACATAATGCTGCTGAATTGTGGGGTTTTTTTTCGCATGATCGTAGACTGGACATTTGTCGAAACGGGGAATTCAACAGCAGCCCACGAAGGCCATACCGTGTCTCTGGTGCCCACCCCTCTCGATGTTGCTACATTCAGATTTGCAAAATTGATCTCAAACGAGTTTTACGGTTATCGATTTATAAAAGTGGCGCGGTATCGATACGTCTCAGTTTATATGTTTACAGGTAATGTTACAAAGCAGAATGAATCTATAGACCTTGAGTTTAATCCAAAAAAAAATGACGACTAGAAAAAAACTCGAAACAGATTATTTCTATGTGCATGTAGTTTCATTCATTGTTGAGAGTTCCTTTTAATCAAGTTTGGCATTCCCATATCATCAATTAAGCAATTTATTCACGTTTGTTTTCCGATTTCAAGCTGTGTCTGTAAAAGCTATTAGAAGATTGTTGTTTTAAAAGACTAACGCATATTCTGTTTTCAATAGTAGAAGTCGACCTTGTCTGTCCACCATGATACAAATATGGGTGGAGGACTTTTTAAAGCCTTGTTAATAGCATGGGAATTAAATTAAGCAGTGCTGAACAAACCTGTATTATGTAAATTCTGTCTTGTCAATCGTCACTAAACACTTGTTTAATTTATCCACCAATTGATTCATAGTTATAGTCAAACTTATGAAATGATAGTACCATTTGGTGGATTCTGGTTAAATACGTCGGTGGATTCTGTCTCGTACTAAATACGATATGTATATACTTTTTAAATGCCTATCAATTAATCTGAATTAAATTTGAGTAAAGATATATATATATATAGCACTTGTTAAGCAATATATGTAATTGAATAAGTTAGTAATGATCATAACATCATTTTTATTAATAAAATTAAACAAAATCTGACAAGTGTTTATATTTTGTTTTTTGTCTAACATACAGTCCAGCAATAACTGACAAACAGCATAGACATTGCAATAAGTCTTCTCAGAATAATACCACCAAGATAGCGTCATATGCCAGCTCTCTGCTTGACCGAACGGATGCCACCTTAATTATTGATACTTTTGATGCATCAATAACAAGACTGATATGGAAACTATTACCTAATACTTTATTATGATTAATGGCCGAGCCCTGCTTGCATTTTAGAAACGGTATAATCCCCAAATGAGCACAGTGGTATTTGTAGATAGCATACACACCTAAAACTATCCCCAAGAGGCTACTTATCAGACACTATCTAATAAGAAAAATACTCGTTAGATTAAAGATTTATTACAATAAATACGCGTGATATAAATTTTGGTATATAAATAAGTATATAGAAACAAATATATCATATGCACAAATTGGTACAATTATAAAAGTACAATATATTTTATCAAATTATAGTACACGTATATTCCATAAAAGTACAGTATATTTAAAGATGTATTCCCACGAAAGTATTTATAAGGTAGTTATTGCCAATAACAGTATGGAAATTAGGGACACCCAATTTTACTAAAACATACAAATACACCACGCATGACAAATGTAAGAATATCACTAACTGGTAGCCCTTGTATTGTTGATCGAATGACTAGCGGTTGTGAGAACAGAGAGATACTTAAACGGCGGAAAATAAGTTGGTAGAAGATAATCCAAAAATTTACTTGGGCTTCGATATTTATGATAAATGTACCGCCAGCGAGTAACGATAAATACAATGGAACTTCCTGCCAATATAGTTAACAGACAACAAATGAAATGGGTTTAATGCCCCACTGTTCTGAACACGTGACAACAAGGCTGCTTAAAATATACTTTTACGGCTTGAAGTAGTTCATTGAGGTAAAAATAATTGGGAGTGGAGGCTTGAAGGAAACCTTTGATAGATAAATTAGTTTGAATATGTTTTAGTTCAATATATATCAACAAATCAAGCAATTTGTACGTGGCAAGGCAGTTACCTAGGTAATTCTAATAACAATGCATTTAATAATGTCTGCAAGAGTTTTAAAATATAAATATTAGATCGTCAGTACAAATTTAATATAATACAAATATAAGATAGTAATACAAATATGATATACTAGAAGAATGCCCGGCTTCGCCCGGGGGTCATAACCCCGAAACCGGAAGTGGTAGACTAACGCCACCTGGCCTATGTTACTCCCCGGTCCGAGCTACCCCTATACCCCAAATTTCAGACTCGGGGCAGACCTAGTGTAGCCGCCAACCCCGAACAGACAGACAGACAAACGACAGTCACAAATATTAGTATAGATAGATTTAATACAACTATAAGATATTTAATACAAATATAAGATAATTTATACAAATATAAGATATTTAATACAAATATAAGATAATTTATACAAATATAAGATATTTAATACAAATATACTAAGCAGCAAAAAAAAAACCGCCAGGTTGGTATGTGAATCCCTTTACAGAGGCATCTGCGACAGCACGTTAGACACTGGGAACACACGGAGGACCCATCAGTACCGATACAGTGCGCCGACGTCTCACCAGAGAGAACATTCATTGCCGTAGAGCTTACCGTGTACCGACCCTCACCCCTCGCCATCTACGCGAACGTCTACAGTTTGCCCAACACACCTGGTATCGTGCCTGGCACGCTTAAAATTTGTAATGTAAACCGGATTATTGTTAATACAAATTCTAGTTAGTTAATACAGTTCTCGTTAGTTAATACAAATATAAGATATTCAATACAAATATAAGATAGTTAATACAAATATAAGATAGTTAATACAAAGACTAAATACAAATATAAGATATTTAATACAAATATAATATATTTAATACAAATATAATATATTTAATACAAATATAAGATATTTAATTAATATAAGATGTTTAATACAAATATAAGATGTTTAATACAATATGAGATAAATACAATATGAGATATTTAATATAAATATATAAACGTGATTGCCTCTATGTAAAATAAAGATGCGCGACACATAGACATAAGGGCGACGCTTGTTTAAATTCTTTGGGATTTACCCCCCCTCCCCCGCCACAAAAAAACCCCATTAAATCGGATTATACACATACAACAACTTTGATTATCCAACATCTGGCGCTGGGTTACTAAGTTTGAAAAATATTAACATACCTTTGTCACGCCTAATGAATGTGTGAATATATTAAGCACGCAATGCCTATACCGTACCTGCTATCTACGTGATCGCATACATTTATTGCATTGTACGCTGGTATTTATTGAAGCCATGCGTTAATGTTTTAAAACAATTATGGAATACGCCCAGCTAAAAAAGGATGTTTATTTCAATGGTTAAAAAATACACTGGGTTACTAAAATGGCGATCGGATAAAATCACGATTTTCGGAAATGTGATAATGCGAAAACTCAGTTAATTGTTGATATATTTTTGATCGAGCTTTTGAACGAAATTTAAAAAAAAAGAAATAGGTTATTGTATTGATGAAAATTATGTTATAAACTATTGATCAAAAACATATATTTTACACACTGAGGTGCATCGAGCAAGTAGTGGAGAAGAACTGTTATTGCCCCCCGCTCTCCCGACATCCAGTATATACATCGTCTGGTGATATTATTTGGTGCAACTCGTGCTCAAGTTACAATAACCTGTAGCACCATGAGCCTTCTGTCTGACGTGGAGAGCGTCTATGGGAAACCGGTCGCCACATCCTACATACGACCCATGCATCTTTTCTTACTACATATTTCTGTAGCCTTGTGATCGTCTAGAATTTGTCTCTAGCTGTCTTTACTTCTGCTTCACGTTGTGTATTTACTTCTTACAGTTTCTTAAGACGTTTGTCTTACCAGGAATAATAATGCATACTTCGCTTCTATATTTTATATAGCATATAACTGAATACAGGTAAACAAGCATAGCACAAATTACAATACTATATAGCTAAAACCACATCTCCACCCTATCCAGCCTCTCGGCTGTCTAGGAACTCAGATGTACCCTCGATCTCTGGAATCTAATGCAAGTCTGACTTACAGGGTTCCCCGGTTTCTTTTAAAGGTAAATGAATATCATGCACCATAAAGCGTGATCATGGCCCTGAACCTGTGCAATTAACGATATGATTGGTTACTTTAAGCTAAATGATGCAATTAGAATAATTCCACTCACGTGTAATTCTGGTGGTAAATGAGTGACATGTGTTTTCGATAAATAACTCTTTTTTATGTGTCAACTGTCAATTACAGACTAAGTTGATTTAGTGCACACTATATATGTGAATATGTTTGAAATTACTAACTTGCCAAAGATATTAATTAATGAAATATAAAGGCATCTTATTTCAAGAGCAAAAATTCTAGCAATATTATTACAAACCACCGCATCGCTACAATGTAATTCACCGGTGGATATGCTTTGGACAACCCCACGGAGGATCACCATCTTCCGATTTCTGCAGCCTTTTAACAGAAACTAAAAGATAAAGTCATTAACTTCAACCTCGGTTGGACATACTATTTTTCACGATACACCCAATAAAATGTATTTCCTAAGGCAACAGATTTAAAAAAAGAAATATATTAAGTTTTTAAAAATAGTTAAATTCGCTGGCCGTGACACCAGGGCAACCGACCTGTCTTGGGCATGCCGTTGGTAGAGGTACACTAACGGAAGAAAATACGTTTGTGCCGGAAAGTAAGATGTCATGCCATTAATTTCCTGTATGTGTGTTTGATTTGGTTTGTTTGGGTTATTTTTGTTTAGTTTAACAAATGAAATTATTATTTTATGATATTTTTGATATCAGAAGTAATAATCATTTCCGGTTTTCTAGATATCAAGGCCGCTATGCCGACCCCGATCTTTACTTTGCTTAACACCTGCCTAAAAATAGGCGTGAAAACTACGACTTACATACTTCCTGTTTCACATAAGGCAATGTTATATTATTTCACGTACGCTATGACTAACTTGAGAACAAAGAAAGGAAGATGGAGAGAAATGGTCAGCAAATCTTGAAAATGAAAAATGTTAATGAAGAATGAAAGGAAATAAGGACTGTTTATCGATAGGTTGATTTGTGGTGTCCTATGTTTGATTAAAAGTCGTATAGTTTAAAGAGGGTAATAAATACTCATGTGTCACAAGTCGATATTAGCATTGTGACGTGGTTTTTACTTTCTAGTACACATCTCCATAATTTTCCATGGTCGGTTGTCATTGAAGTCTCGTGCATGACATCTGACAACAGTCGCCTGAACGACAGTCGTTCTGAATAAGTTAGGTCTTGAGTAGAAAAGCAGAACCATTAAGATAAAACTAAACAAAGCAATAATTCTGATTACATTGGTCGCAGCACAAATAAAAAAAATGTAAAGTGGTTTAATAATTGAAGATGTAATAAAGGTCAGTCACCCAACAATTAGTTTCTTCTGTCGGAAGTTATTCGCGACTGCTAATAGTAATTATAGTCTAATTCAGGATTCCTCTACTGCATGGTTACACGAAAATAACTTATCGGTAGATACATGTAACTGACCTTAGGAAAATGATTAAATTGTTGGCATCTCTTATTTATAGAATATATAGATAGAGTTGGACAAAAGTGGCGACCAGTGTCGGGCAATTGGATCATCAACTCATCTCGCCATATTTTTTCTTACATACAAACCTTAAAATATGATAACAGCAGTTATCATAATTTGATTGAAAATGTTCGTGTCGGTAATGAATACCACTCATAACATTATAAACTAATTACCACATTGGCTTTCCCCGTACACAGTTCATCTCTATCAACAATACAATCTTTCAATTTTAAATTTAACAGGCAGTGCAGCATGAATTGCCCAACCAAAACAGTTAACAACACAAGCAACGTGCTTTCTCAGTTCTTCTCCATATTTTCAATTCCAATCTTAT